TGGTTAACGCGCCGGTGTCAACCGCTGAGCGTCTGGCAAACCATGGGTACGGGGCTCAATTCCCAACGGTAGCCGCCCTTCTCGCCAGGGTGAGACGCTGATGGCGCCATATAGCCCCAGTAGCTGGGTGCGTCGCAAATCCCCAATGAAACGCCCGTAATCCAGGGGAGCAAGGATAGTGATCGCTTGGGTCGCAATTTCAGCAAAACCGAACGGCTTCGGTCGCTGCAGTAACGCCAGCAGGCGGGCGCCGAGCGCGCAACAATGACTGTCGTAAAAAAAAATGTTTCTGAATGTCTTTTAGAATTAACTCGTGCAGTTCAAAGATTACACTGGGCAGTTCAAAAATCACACGAATCTATTTTGACAACCTTTTGGTTGTCCCTAGGACATATGATCGCTTCTTCTTCGATTCTGCGATCTCCTCGGATATCGCAGAATCATTAAATCGGGTTTTCACTGAGATTGGACAAAAGTTAAAAGACAAGATACCTAAATCATCATTCAACCTCCTTGAACTCATCGCAAATATAGAAAATGAAATGGATCTGCCCCCCCCCCCCCCCCCCACTAATGAAGGGGAATTAATTATTGTCATCAATGGATTAAACAGCGTCGGAGCTTGAGTCAACAATGGGAACTCAGAAATATTCAAGTTACCTGATAGGGTAATATTCAAAACGATTCTCCATCTTTTCAACAGCTGTTTGTCATCGGGATATTTCCAGACATTTCCAAAAAGCCGTGATTAACACCATTTTTAAAGGTGGGGACTCTCAGTTTGTAAGTAATTACAGACCTATCAGTATTTTGCCGTTGAGGTCCAAAATTCTAGAAAAGCTCATTTATAATAGACTCGTCCATCATCTAATCCCAAACCATATAATTCACCAAAATCAGTTCGGGTTTCAGAAGAACAAAATTACCTACATGCCAATTATTCTTCTCCAGGAAACTATCACTTAGGCTTTTGAAAACGGAGAACATGTGCCAGGTTTGTGTTGAGAGTTGAAAAAACATTTGGCACTGTTAACATAAGCCTTCTTCTACGTTAAGTTACTAAACATGGCATTCATGTATGTTTACATTTGCTGGCTGCTTGCACCTGCTTGAGAACAGGACATCCATACCCCCAACTCTCACTTTTTTAGAACAAGTGCTCATTGTCTTAAAGCCCATCAAATATCCTCGACTGCTGCCATTTAGTTGGACGGTTCTACTGCGTTTGTTACCATCCATTCGTGATTTCTTAGGCTGGTGGAACAACAAGACGAGCGTCAACTAGTTCGTTTCTATATTCCGGTACATGCTCGGGACGCAGCAGGAACATCACGCGGCTGGATCCACATCCATCCTGGCTGTGGATCATAGTCCCAGTCAGCGGGGTACCAATGGCACGTGTGATACCGACAGCACCGAGGTGCTCGATATGCTGGACGATCATGACTGCCGGCCGGGGCTGTTCTTCGTGGCCGCCAATGTTATTTTATATATTGCCGTTTACGTCGTCAGGACTCTGGACTGAATAGGCAGGATCGCCTGCCAAGGGGCGCTGGTGAGCCGTCAGGAAAACGGCGACCCCACATCCTGATGTTACCGTTTTGGGCTGAAAATCCGCTGTGTGGGGATGTATCCCTCCGCAGTAGCAGTCAAGCGGTGGTCCTGAGTGCTGAGGAGGAGCTCCGCCGTTACATTGTGCAGATGGACGCGGCTTGCCATGCAGTGTCCTGGCGGATGTCGGAGAGTGCGGTGGTGTGCCGCATCGGTACCGATGACGTGTGAGATCCGGCCGCCAGCCCCTGGAAACGCAGTACGGTGTTTGGCAAACCACCATACTGGGCGGATCAGGCTGCTGATGGCCACCTAACGACGGGTGTGTTTTCATCACCAGGGAAAAGCGCACAACGCACGCCTGCAGAGGAACAGGATCCGTAAAAAATCACTCAAGCGATGCTGTTTAGAGGACATTACGCCACATGTAGGCACTGATATTCTGCCTTCATTTTTCCGTTGGCGTAACCAACAGTTATCCTTTCATTCAGTACTCATATCTCTCGACTCGTCGGGTTCGTCCGGCCTCTGTTCTGCTCTGCTCTCTGCTCGCCCTGCTCTCTGTTTAGGGTTCTGTTGTCCGTGAAATAGGGTTTCTGAGGAAGATATGGCTGCTTCAGTGTGCGATGTGGAGGTACATAAAGCTCTGTGTGGCGTTTCATAAATATTTGTTGCCAGTTATCTTTATATTTGTTCGTAATCTATCTAAAGTTACATTGTCAGCTGACAGAAAAAAGTGCGCGCAGATCGCAACATTTTTCTCGGAGGACGTTTGTGGCGTCTCGAGACGACCAGGTGGAAGTTTCGGGCGTACCTGGGAGCTAGTGAGGCGTCGTGAAGGGTTCGTGAAGATTACCTGTTGAAACACGATCGATTTGCTGCATCTGCACTATCAGGTGACCAGTAAATATGTTGACTGTTGCGGCATTATGAAACAGATAGAACGTGAATCTCATAGCGTTGTCAAGTGATTTATATGTGGGTTAGGCTTCAAAGCAGCATGATGTTGTCAGATAGTTGAAATATGAGTCTGCGTCATCGGATGTATTGTTCCTGTTATTGCTGTGATAATAATAATTGTAATAATTGTGTAAGCAAGTCCTTGGTCTTGAGCGCTCATATGTATTCATTCCATTTATTAGAAACTGGCTAACCAGTCCCTGACCTGAGCGTTGCAAGTGGGCTCTTCACCTTTCTATGGTGGCCTTGGAACTGGCCAAGACAGTGCCGGACGGCATATCGCGCCCCGCACGATGCAGATTCGGCAGCGACTCATGCGTCAGTAAACCATGCGCGGCTGCCGACTCGTGGACACCGGCGGCATCACCGCGACACCAGATATGCCGGCGTCCACACCGTGGCGGTATTAGATATCGCGCCCCAGGACACCCACCGCGGAATCTTGCACAACGACGGGTGAACCCTACGACACTTGTCCCACGAACGCCGGGCAGACCGGCGGTCCCGCCAATGCTTGATGTGAGCGCGGCGGAACCATCCGGGCCAACGGCGGCGCGGCGGCGGTCGCCATCAGCGGCGGGTCCACGCTCTACAGGCTTTCCGAACGGATCGGACACATCGGATACTTGTCCGTACACATCGGATACGACTGCAGCCGACCCCGCGGGGTTGTGGGGAGCCAGGTACACAGGAGACGGCGGCCTCACCACCGCGTGGCGTGAGCACGGCGGACCGTCTGCGCAGACAGCGGTCGTGGAGGTCGGCGGCAGGGATCTCTCCATGCGGGCAAGCCATTAACGGTGAAATACAACAGACGGATGCTTCAGGACCGCTGACATATCATTATACCTCGTAAGGTCCTTTGAAATCGGTTCAAGCTTTAGTTTTGCTTCTATGATCTTACAAAAAGTCCTCGCCGCATGCGTTGCATGGGCTCTGTTAACACGCGCCCGGGCGGCCGGCTAGGTACCCTTCACTCGGGTAGGGGGTGAGTTTGACCCCACTGAGATCTCGGGAACTAAGAAAGCTAGAGACACCAAATTTACAGAGTGTGTTGACCTGTACGTGAACTCACTTAGGTCAAAGTTTTGGGCTCCTAGATCATGACCTTCAGGTAAAAAAGGTCGAACAAGGTCAAGTTTCAGATTGGTCTCCAATGTGCCCCCAGAACGTAGACAACCGTTTCTAGGCAAAAAGTCACAGTCTCATTGAAGGTCAATGACCTTGTTTGGTCTTTTGAAGGTCAAGGTGACCAAAATCATACAAGATTGCTTTGAGTTGTGTAGTTGACTAAGCGACAAAGATTGCGCTAGGCAGTATATTCCTAAAACAAAATGTTGACCTAGGTCATTTTCGGTCAATGAAGTATTCTGACCTCTAAGAAGTCCATGGAAGCTGTATAATGCGGTTCCTGCCATCAATGAACTCGAAATGAGCACCAGAAACTGTCCCATGCAGCTAACCCTAGAGTAATAGAACAGGCTAGTTTTGACCTTGGTGTGACCTTAAAACCTGACCTTAGGTCAATTCAATTTGCTCATTTAACTGTTGTGTTGACTAAGAAGTTACATGGCACATCCGAATTTTTGATGTCAAACGATCCGCTATTCAATTGTCTACAGCTATGCCAAAATTGGCACGGCTACGCCACACCGTCCTGAAACCATTCTAGAACAACCTTCGGCGGGGGGGGGGGGTCGAGTTGACCCCCCACCCGAGCGTGTGTTAAGCAAGTCTACATCTACCGACTATTTTCTAGTCTATTGCCTACAACAATTTGGCAACCGGCTTTACGTACCAGCAAGCGAACAAGTCCACTCAGCTGTCATAACTAGTCCTGTATATGTGTGGGCAGCCGGCATTCAGCGCACTCGACCAATGTACATTGCTGGTTGTCAGTACTATCATTTTCCTGGAGTTTAAGTGGCATCAATGTATGGGCTGAAGCAATGTCTTAAAAGGGCTCATATTCAACTCTGATATACTGACTCATTTGTAATGCTTCACCTCTCCCTCATGTTGCATACCTACCATGGTTCAGTTCTCCATTGGCATGTCCGCTTTACACCAAGCGAATACATTTGATTTACTACAAACACGACCTAGACTTGGCACGGGGAATATACAAGGGCGGGCTCTCCACGAACTGTACTGACTACAAAACCCTGAGCGATAAGCTCACTTTCAGCATGACGAGTTCTCTATACATCAAACTTGACATTTCAAACGTGGTCCAGATTTTCACATCTTACCCTATGTGTTAGCGTCCACTCTTGCATCGTGTGCGATAAGCTGTGATGAGTCGAGCGCTTGCAAAATGTCTTATTATCGTGCCCAACTTTTGTGTGACTAGTTCGTGCACCTCCGCCAAGGTTACCCTCTACTCGATGCACACGTCAAACATCTGATCAGGTGATAAGAGAGCTGCAGGCCTGAGGAGTGTGGCCGGACACAAACGCAGCACGGGATAGAAGACAGACATACAGTAGTTCAAAAATCACAAGTTTTGTATTCCGACACAGGTAGAACTGCTCCAACTAAAAATGCATGACACAGGTAGTATGGTTCCATATAAAAACGGACCCGGTCGCGAGCCCCAACTGCGTCATGTTTTGGGGTTTCTATGTCGTCTAGTGACAAAGAAAAGAAACCGGAGCACTTTGATCTCAATTAACGATCCCAACTCCCATGTGGCCACCTGCCTCAACACAGGATAAGGACCAGTGACCAACCAGGCTCGCGCGCTGCCTAGTAATACTGATGGTGTTTGTATGGAAACATTGATATCTCACCCATCCGCATGATGTGCCGGGCATATTAGACTCGCAAAGGTCATGAGACAGCAGTTCGCAACTCAGAGATCCAACACCAGACGTCTAGATAGTAATCCAACCGTGAAGTTAGTAGCAACAACCGATTGTGCTCAGGCCTGACCTGTCTCCACACAGCGGTCCAGCTATCACAGCGCCCGTGTCTAGGGCTGCGCGGCCTGCGCCACCGGCTCCTTCAGGCCGAAGTATGACTGCGGCAGCTGGAAGTACTCGCTGATCAGCTCGTCGATCCAGTAGACGAAGCGCTGCGGGTCGGCGTACACGCCCGGGATGCCCTTCTCACCGCAGCCGATGCCCCAGGCCACGATGCCACCGTGCACGTAGCGTTCCGGGTCTGCGGGGTCGCGGCAGGCCAGCGGAGAGCCGCCGTCACCGGTGCACGTGTCGGCCACTGTGCCTGCCTTGGCGTCCTCCTGGGCCACCTTCGGCGCGCCCTCGGTGGTGGCGACGGCGAGCGGCTCCGGCGCGCCGGCGCACGTGAAGGAGTCGTCCAGAACGAAGCGGGTGCCGAGTCGCGTCGTACGCAGCTGGGTCTGGCAGTAGTCATGGCCGACCCGCTGCAGCTCCACCTGCTTCAGCACTGTCTGGTACTGGCCGCTGTCGAAGCGGTCCTTGCCCCAGCCGGTGGCGACGCAGTCGGCGCCCGTGTAGTTGACGGCCGGGTCGGGCAGGCAAAGCGTGTCGATGTGCTCTTGCAGTTGCACTGGCTCCGCCAAGAAGAGCAGCGCGATGTCGTTGTGCAGGTTGCGGCCGTTGAAGTCGACGTGTGTTTCCACTTCCGCCACGGCCACGTCCACATGCGGGAAGAACTCGGTCGTGTGCTGCGTGTCCCACTCACCGAGCCGGACGCGCAGGGAGGTCGACTCCTGTTCGTAGACGCAGTGGGCGGCTGTCATAACCACTTGCGGGTGCACCAGCGCGCCGCCGCACACGAACAGGTTCTTCTCCTGGCCGCCCACCTCCTCCACGCGCAGCACAGCCGCCATCCAGGGGAACTCGCCGAACTGCGACTCGCCTTCGGCAAAGCCCACGATGCGTGCGTTGACGCCGAACTCGTTACGCCGGCCGCAGCGGGGCACATACTCCGGCTCCTTGATCTCCGGCTTGGCCATGGGGTCGCGACAGCATACGTCGATGAAATTGCCGCACTCTGAGTGCGTCAGCGGCGCCGTGTCGTTCTCCAGCTGGTTGTTGCCGAAGCGGATGTCGATGAGGCCCGCGCCGTCGGTGACGATCTCCTCCTCGCGGCAAAGGTAGTACGGCACGCAGACGTACTGTGAGTCCTGACAGCGCTCTGGCTCGCCCTGGTTGGCGCCCAGCCCCAGCGCAGCTAGCAGCTCGGCGTCGGTCAGTTCGGCAGTCGGCGCGGCCTCCGCGGCCTGGGGGACAGGGGCGGCCTCCGCGGTCTGGGGTCCGCGGTCTGGGGACGGGCGCGGCCTCCGCGGTCTGGGGGACGGGCGCGGCCTCCGCGGCCGGGGGGACAGGGGCGACCTCCGCGGCCGGGGGGACAGGGACGACCTCCGCGGCCGGGACATCCGGCGCGGCCCCCCCAATCAGCGCAGAGAGAAGCTCAGCGTCGGTCATCTGAGCAACGTCGGTCTGCTGGTGGGAAGAGGCGGTCACCTGACCGGAGGCCTGGTCCGTGGCCGTCGAGTGCTGAGGTGGCGGTAGAGCCAGCGCCACCGCCAGCAGCAGCGTTCCGATGACGAGGCGCATCACTGCCGATCCCAAGACCTGGTAAGTTGCAGAAAAACAGAAGACAAGTTTCCAGCACGGCTACTTTCGGCAGCGAGTTCCTTTCAGCGCATTTTTGTCCTCCAAACAGAGGTACATTTTTGCACCGGACTTCCTGGTGTGATAGTTCACCGCCTGTTTATAATGTAAAGTCAAAAATTTTCATGTAGGTAAATCACGAAAAAGTTATAACTCATTTGGCGTAAGTCTTCAAAATGTTGTTTAGGGACTGCTAGCGCAAACTGCATGTTAGTTGACAGATCAAGATTGGACCGATCTAAGTTGATATGTGTGTTCATCAGCAACGCGGTGCACAGCTGTGTACCTCAAAAACTCGCGCACTATGTACTTGTGAAAGTGATGATTTCATTTGGTTCAAACGAACAAAAACAAAACAAAAACACAATGAACAAACAAGCAACGGAACCAGGGAAAGGCCATGATCATTGTTATTGTGCACTGGATGCATTGAGCGCGATTGTGTTTTTAAAGTGGCCAGCTGCCGAACTGTATATAAAACGGTCAAAAACTTGCCTTAGATATTGTTGTCACAGGCTGGTATGACAGCAAAGACGGTAGTTGCCACCTGCAGCTCGGCCGGTTTTCGCTGGGCTTCTGACGCTGAACTCACCGGCGCAGTATTATAAAGGAACGGCGAAGCGTGACGTCACAGGCTCACGCGGAACGGTGCCTGAGTTTCGCAGCCAGTGGCGCTTGGCTGGGCAGAGCGGCAGGATAGGCCAGCGGCCCGGAGGTGAGAGGGCAGGGCATAGACGATGACATCAACGGAGTAAAGGAATGTGAAACAGAGATAGATGGAGATAAGAAATGATGGAATATCAAAACCGACTTTCAGCCTTATTTATCACTAGGCTGCATTCATGGTTTGCGATTAAAGCCAGCATTCAGCAACAGCAGTGATTTAGTAAACTTGGTTGTCAAATTTGACCGGGCAACTCAGCCGGTGAGTCTTGACAGGTCCCAAATTGGCTGCTGAGCTGGCTCCTGATTGTGGGGTGGATGCGATCTTATCTAGACAGTATCATACGTGGTTCTCGGCCAGCCCATGGTCGCAAATGTCTAAGCAAACACGGCAGATGGCATTGGAAACTATTGCAACCCATCTCTCCATCGGACATTGACGGATTGAGCAGCCGGGATATCGAGCTGCACATGGTGCTGGTAAGGTCATGACCGGCTGCAGCTTGGCGAGGAAGTCCGCCGAGCAAAGGCTGCCGAAGTCGGATCAAAACAGGCTGCCGAAGTCGGATCAAAACAGGCTGCCGAAGTCGGATCAAAACAAGCTGAAACATCCCGGTTGCAGTGCTGCGAATGACCCCGATTCGCACCCTTCATGACTGATGCGGAAGTATGTCCCCGGCATGCACCTGGCCCGTGTTCAGCGCTGCTGCGAGAAAGGCCGCAGGCCTGCGAGCCTAAACGTCAACAACTGGAACCTGTCCAGCGGCAGTGCCCCGCCTCCGAACGGTCAGTCATGCTTTGGGCAGGCCGAAATCTGTTTAATCACTGATGGTGCCACCATGACGCTTTTGACAACGTTAACACAATTCTTTAAACGATTTGCCGTGGTGTTTTGAAGTATTTAGATGCAAGTTGTTTGATAAAGCGTGGTGTATTTCTGCAACGCTGTGACATGAACAGTATTTCATTTACCCATTCGAGTAACCTAAGAGATGTAAAATGGTAAAATCGACAATAAGCTAAGGACACGAGTCGGAAACAGGTCCGGACATCGTCGACCAGGCGTCACATCGGTATGCAACTGATTGATACTGGCAGAACAGAAAGCGTGCGATCGTACTGACAAAAGAGCGGGTCATTGTGTGCCGGATTCCATATATGATATGTCATATACTGTGCATCACATGCTATAGTGCAACAGTACATCACATCCTGCCCAGGGCTTTCTCAATCGCTGAGGGGTCCCCCACGGATTTTTCCTAATTGCTCTGAAGGCACTTCGCTGTTGTCACGGACCTACATAGTACATACATTCCTTACACCGAGTCATTTCTGCCTCTACATTTTCGCGATTTTGTTCAATTCTGTACCCTTTCATTTCCCTTATTTTCAACGTTTATTGTATTATATCATGTTATACTTGCCATGGTGTGAAGCAGTTTCAATTCAACTCTCACAGCTGTCAACACGATATTCCACGTGCTGAGCTGACACTCCCCTCTGCCGTTTGCGGAGGTCTGGAAGTGGAACCGTCAAGCTTGGCAGCTATCAATGAGGGGATGTATTCGGTGGACTGGTCTCCCGTGGTCACTACCCATGCCATTGAACTGCAGCATGGTTCATCATTCATCATATACTGCGTGGACTTGATACCCATGCACCTGAATGCCGCTTCAGGGCCGGAATGCCCGGCGCGCCGCTGAGCTCCGACGACGCCATGCTGCTTATGGTCGGCGGCGGTGAGGCGCGCTCCGTCAGGGGTGCGGGGGCTGCCCACCCGCGTGCAGGTATTCCACTGAGACAATAGAGACACTGTGAGAAGGTGAGTCCCCGAGACAGGGTCAGGTTCCATGTGCCGTGGTCTGCAACTCGGTATCGGCCTAAGTCTGGCAACAAGATGCTGGTCCCGGACGTGAAGCCGACGACACCTTGAGCCGATACTTCTCCAAGGCAGGTGTCAAAACCGCTGTCGGTCATTGGTGTCCGGGCCACTGTTTTCGCTGTCCACATCCTGATCAGACTTCCCGTGTTTTAACCGGGTCATCCTGCGCCCGACCTGTCCCGACGAATAACTTGTACGCAACCATGCATGGAGTGCACCCTGTTCGAGTGGCATGCGCGCTGCTCATGATGTTCCTACGAGTTTCATCAAGAAGTGTTCTAGGGCAGTAGAACAAGTCACTCTGTGCCTGGTAAACAACAGCCTAGTTGCAGGCACTGTTCCGAAGTCATGGAAATTGTCAGCAATCCAACTTATTTGCAAGTGATCAGTCGTTCGCACGGAACCTCCGTGCTTTGGGCCAATTACACCTGTGGCTGGCATTGCAAATATATCCGTACGTGTTGTCCACGAGCAGCTGATTCTTCTTTTTTGGGCGTTCTGATTCTGAGAAAGAGAGAGAGAGAGAGAGAGAGAGAGAGAGAGAGAGAGAGAGAGAGAGAGAGAGAGAGAGAGAGAGAGAGAGAGAGAGAGAGAGAGAGAGAGAGAGAGAGAGAGACGGTTTATTGAGAAAAGCACGGCTTCAAGTATTAACTCATATTGCACATGTGCACAGTACACATGTGAAGTAGGATACGACTTAGTTGATAATATATCTATGTTAATGAGAGTGGTTATATGCGGAAAGCTTGATTTGCATAGTCGCATATCACAGCAAAACGCTTGGAGTGTGCTTGCGATCCGAGTATTTTTGCCGGAGATCGCTACTCGGTGCTTCGGAAGCAGATCTCTATGCAGGAGAGACGCTTGCATTTATTTTCCCAGCCTTAGGCATAGTTTTTCTCTTCTGTCAGCAAGGGTTTCCATGCCGAAGTGTTGCAAGATATGCGAGTAGTTTCCTGAATGGCCAAAAATTATGTTCAAGGCTCTCTGCTGCACTTTCTCAAGATTTGATTCTGATTCCTCCTGATGGGCGTTCCTTCTGAAGAAAGGTCGAAGGCTGCCGTTCGAGCCGCACGACGACAAGCTTGTAGTTGCACAGGCCAACTCATTGGTCGTCGTAACGCAAAACGGCACGTCCCGAAAGAAATTCCACCTACTCTAGTAAACTCACAGGCACTTTCAGCAGTGTGGTTCTGCATTGACCTAAATGGTAGCCATGAAAATGCACAGGACTTCCTGATGGGGAAGAACAACGAAAAACTTTGCATTTAAAACCGACCTTAGCGCACCCTTGGCCCTCACAACTTCTTTCGTGTGATAAAAGAACACGGTATGTTCTCGAACGCTCTATCCTTACGTGTCTGCCTGGCATTACTTGGCTGTCAATATTTAGTCTACGTACATACCGATACAGGCCGCCAACTTGGTCAGGGGCGGACGTGCCCATGAGGGTTGCTGTGTGTGCACGCGTGTACGCCCCTGATGACACATGCAACGCCAGATTCATGGGGTACGCTCAGGACATAGTCAGCTCAAAAGCTAGTCACGGCAGAACATCGAAAACACCACCATACAAGGTGATGCACTTCGCACGCACAAGTGAATGCCTGTGCTTCGCTTTGCGACATATCATGCATGTTGCCTTGTAAAACGAATATAAGCAACCAAGGAGCCTAGGCTTTTTATATTGCCCACTGTCCCTTGCCGAACAGTTGGCAATGCAAACAGCTGATAGGGAGGATGAGGCACGTGGCAGGACACACACCTTAGTCTTCCTCGAATTCACTCGGAGTCGGGGGTGGGGGGGGGGGGGGGGGGGGGGGGGGGGGCGGGGGGATTCAAGTACCGCTGCGAGGACAGGCATTTAATACATGCCTCCTGAGATCATAGGCCGTCTTTCGCGGGCTTTATAATGACCTAAGCAACATCTCGGCCTAACGCTGCGTGATCCTTAAAATATGTCAAACCAAGACATGTGCACTTGGTCTGTCATTGCGAGTATCCTTGTACTTTCATGAGTGCTCCGAGTGTTTTTCTTAACAGCCTGGTTGTCATTGTCACCCGAGCTCAAGAATAACCATGGATTTGCATATGTTTTGGATAAAGAATGCATTGCAATGTCATGCATTGCTTCCTTCTAGATGACATATTTCGGTTATGAAATTACTGCGCGTTTGAAACTGAGAGTAACTGCCCAGAACATTTCCCGGATGCTCAATCGATGTTGTAACGAGCAAACGAGTCTTCTTTGAACACAGCGATGTCCAAGCAAAGCGAGAGGCTGAAGAACACGTCACTGGTCGGCAGATACGTTGGAATTGTACTTCCCAAGCGGGAACAAGCTGGCTAAAGGCCAGAAACCGTTACTGATCAGATCCTAAATGAGGATTTGGGAGTTGGATACTTCGGAGGAGTGCGCTGCTGTCTAGACGATCTGACTCGGGACTGCTGACTATTTATTCGCTATTTATGCACTGCAGTCTTAAGTTGTTTTTTTTTTGACATGAACTATCTGTTTGTTCTCCGATCGCCATACCGCTTTCCGGAGTGAAGAGACGTCGTGCGAGAGGTCATAATTGTCATCGTTATCCTAGTCGCAAAATGCAACATGCAAGTGACAACTTAATGCATGTGTCAGGATAACAAATCGAGAGTACTGTAAGTAATTATTATTGCATTATCATAGTATTGTATTGTAATATAATAGCAAGGTCTTGTGGGCAATAACAAATTCATTTACTATCCAACGCCATTGGAATGTTTCAGCCAGCTGGTAACGGTTCTCGGTGCAGTCAGGCAAGCAGCGGTGCAGCCGAATTCGTTCTGCGATCCGCTGTTGTACAGCGGCAGCGTTCGCATGCTAAATCACAATGCACCCACGGAGAGTGTATCGGGTGCGTTTCACTGAACAGGTGTAGACATGTGATTATGACAGTTCCTAGTACACCTACACATTGCACTTCCCATACCATGGCTGCCTTGACCCACACTAGACACATCGTCGCTCTTAATACCGTG